AAAAAAAAAAAAAAAAAAAAAAAAAAAAAAAATTAAAAGAATTACACTAAGTGACTACTACTATTAGAAACAGCTAACAGAAATATCAAATGCTGATGAGGATGTTTGCAAAAGGAAGCCCTGTACACTCCTGGTAGCAATGTAAGTTAGTAGAGCCGTTTTAGAGAACAGTACGGTGATTCCTCAATGAACAAAAATATTTCTACCATAGGATCCAGCTTCCCCACATCTGGGTATATTTCTGAAGGCATTGAAGTCAGCATAGGAAAGAAATACTTGCATACTCATGTTCACTGCGGTTATTCACGGTAGCTAAGACAGTGGCAAGTCCAGGTGCCTGTCCACAGATGAATGGATTAAACCACACGGTGATCATATGCAGTGGAGACTTAGTCAGCCATAAAGAAGAATGAAATAGTGGCGTTTTCAGAAAAATGGATAGAACCAGAGTTTCTTGTGTTGACTAACAATACACAGAGAGATTGCATGCTTTCTCTCATGTAAGGAAACTTTAAACAAAAAAGCCTAGAAAGAGAGGGCAGACTTTCAGGGAAGAAGGAAGCCGGCGGGAGGGTATGATGGGGTATAATAGGGAGAACGGATCAGCTCTTAGCATGGTACATACGTGTGTGGAAATGTCCCAGGGAAGCCCCTTTGTATGATTGGTAAGATTAAATAATTACAATAAAAAGCATATTATGGGTATGATTAAGACACGAGAATCTAAATGCAGAATCTCATTAAAAAATTGGCTCCTTAAAGGAATTGTAAAATAGACTAAATTTGAAATATTAAAATATCCTAAGCATCTATCTTTCAATAACTAGGGCATTTAGCTATTTTTTTTTCCGGGGATCGAACTTGGATCCTTGCACGTGTGAGGCAGGCAGTGGCATTGCTGAGCTAAATCCCTGGCCGTAACTAGCTATTTTTTAAAAATCCAATAAATTATTTGCCTTCTTTGCTCACAGTCCTAGAATTACCTCTTGGGAAATCTTTATCAAAATTAAAACGGACAATTTTGGTTCAAATAAGTATTTTGTTTAACTAAAAGAATATGACGTAAATCTTCAAGAGGCTAGAAATTCAGAGTTCAGAGTTCAGACTAACATGCTTGGAGTCTCTAGCAAGTTTATTTCATTTTTTAAAAATACAGTGATATGAGATAAAGCTGCAGAAATTTCCACCCGAACCTCAAGGTGACCTTGTTCCTACAAATTTATGGGTAGACTTTGAAATCTGTAATGCTCTGAAATGACCCAGAACTTTCTGTCATTTAACTGCTAATCAAAAATAAAGCCAAGGTTATATGTGACTTTTCAATATTTTTCCTTCTTCCAAACCCCTTCTCACACCCTACTTTCAAGGCCTTGAACTTTTTAAGACTTAGATCCTAAGACAATAAACAAGTCTGCCTCTGGAATGGAAATAAATAAATTTTTTGCATGCAATCAGATAGTTTTTGTTTTCCCAAATGAACTCTGCTGTGAACAAGTGCAGTTTTTGCTGTTTGTTAGGTCATCTCCAAATTGCTTGTAAGTTTGTGGAAAATTCCCTAGGTGATAAATTTTTCCTCCAAAAGTCAATATTTTCTTTCCCTAAAAATAATCATACCAAGAGGACAAAGATAAAAATTAAATACCCTTACTATGTGCACTAACATTATATTAAAGCACAGTTCACAGGAGTTCAGCAGTTCTTTGCTTTTACTTAGTCTATCAGTAGACTGATTCTGTCTTTCAACTTTGCAGTTTACTATGAAGATCACATTTAATACTGTCTTGATTGTTGTTGCTTTTCTAATGGAGGCTTGCGATACATTTACTTAAGTGGAAAGGAATTTGAACAGGACTGCTGTTTAAAACACAAGACAAAATAATCAGGCTGAGATGGAGCTCAATGGTAGAGTGCTTAACAAGCATGCAAGAGGCCCTAGGGTGCAGTCCTATCACCCTCAAACAAAACAAAAACCGAAACAAAACAAGACAAAATACAGTGAAATCAGTGAACAAGTCAGAGCAGCACGAGAGTAGGATGTTCTCTGACTTCCCGCTTTGACCCGGCTGACTTTTTCAGTCACTTCCCCTCTGCACCTCTGAGTACATCACCTTCTTCATCTCTGGAAGTGAATAATCTGTGCACTTACGCCACACGGAATGGGGACTTTTAAAGTCCTCTCGATGTTTAAAAAACAAGTCTTAAATATTAGAAAAAATATTTACAAGTTGATTGGAAGCACTGGTGCCGTATATTCGTTCAACAAATAAATAGATGACACCCAAGGGAAAGTTCTGTGGGTGGCTGGTGAGTAAAAGGCCAAATTCTGGGTGACACTCATAACCATAGCTGATGAGGGCCCTTCTGAATTGCAAAATTAATGAGAGAAAGCCAGTGGAGAACATTTCACGGAGCAGCTAGTTACTGTAAATCTACTAAGTAACGATGAAAAGCATGGAACTCACCCTCACAGAGCTTCCGGCCTACGGGAGAGGAACCACGAGCCAATGCCTACCACACGCCAAATGCATGTGCTAAACTCTTCATTTTCATTATCCCATCCATCAGCACAAGAAGCCTGTGTGGCATGCAGTGCCGTAACTATTTTCCAGGTAAAATAACTAAGGGTTTGAAATCTAAACTTATTGTCCAAAGAAACAGACTAGTGAGTAGCAAGATAGAATTTGAGTTCAGATTTGTCCAAATCCAAAACACATGCTCCTCACTGTCAAGTAAAAGTGACCATGTTAATACCAAGTTATTCTCCCTGCATTGAAGCTTTGTATTGATCTCCTCATTGATCGCCAGCTGGCGCTTACCTGTTATCTTGCAGCCATAGACTTCAAATCTCATAGATATGCCAGTTTCCCAAGTCACAGGTCTGATCCGGATAAATCGAGTTATCAGTGGTTTGGGAAAATTGCCAAAAGCAACATCTGTGGGGTTGGTGTTTCCCTGAAAGATCTAGATGGGAAAAGGAAAGACCATTTATTGACCACTTTTTGGGGTATTTAAATAAAATTAAAAAAATGCTTTCAAAAATGCTTACAAAAATTATTCACAATTTCAGCTTGTCTGTCAAGTCTCAAGCAGTGTTAATAGCTTGTCACGTTATTTATCCAAACGATGGCAATCAGAAAGCATCACGTCCAAAATAGAATGTTGTCCTAATCATCTATTCAGTTTTTTTGAGAGGCTACAGCCCTGAAAGCATTGTTACAAGAATGACATTTATTAAAGGACACAGGCTATTACTGTAAAAAGTGCAGAATGATTAACTTTATCAGAGGACCTATGAAGCCCTGCAGATATTTCACAGGGACTCTCAGTATTTTGCCGTCCCGAGAGCTCTTGAAAAAATGCTTTTGGAGCATAAAGTCTGGCTTTGTAAAATTCTCGTTTTTGTTCCTGGCTGCAGTTCTAAGTTAAGCAGCATTCTCCTTTTTAACTCTGTTCCTTGATGAAAGATCTTATCCTGGACCCGAACTAATGACGTTAATCCTTTTGGGTTCTTGGTAAAATTATATTTTAGTGACCAAAGTCAAAACTGAATGATGAATGATATTTAATTGCAAATCAGCTTTCCCAGGGCTTCTGGTTTAAAGTGAGTCATTTTACTCCAAGGAAGGCAAAGCATGTGAATACAAAGGTAATGACGGCCCAAGCATGAACCAGTGTCCCACAGGGCCTGTGGGGGCCACTCTGCCAGGACAGAGGCTGCAGCTGGGCTGTCTCCAAGGTCTCTGATGGAGGAGACTTTGTCATCTGATGAACACTTGGCTCCGGGGGGAGTGACGGCTCTGCTGGGTTCTGTGTCAGCCCTGGGCTGGGAAATCCTATGTGGAAGCAGCCTTTCAGTCCCGTGCTCTGTGCTCCCTGTGTTGTGCTCCTCTGCGTGACCCCTCAGGTGGCCCAACCAGAGTGCTGTGGGGCTGAGGGTGTGCAAACTTCATTTGGTGCAAATGGCCCAAGCAACCAGAAGAGGTCAAATGAGCAGATGGTTAGCCTAATGTGTCTCGGGATGATTTATATTGGAATCTATCCTCCTGTGGGGTCTTGAGCTTCTGCCCTGCTTGCGTCAGCATCTCTGTCTGGAAAGGACCATTGGGGGAGCATTTTGGATAGTAAAGGAGGACCAGCGGCCAAGAGGGGTAGCACCCTGGATGTTACTGTCCTCACACCCAAGGAGTCCCATTCACAGGTCAGGTGGGAGTGCTCTGCACATCTTGAGGGGCACACGCTTTGCTCCCACCAAGGAGCTCCCCATTGTAAACTGACAAGCGTGCAAGTGAACACGTTCTGTGCAAAACAGAGAGGGCAGTGGGAGGCTGCTCCTGCTGAGATGTGGCCAATGCTGCAGAGGAAGGAGGAAAGAGAGACAGAGAGCGTCTCAGGTGCAGAGAAAGGGAGGTGGGCAGGGACTGGGCTCCAGTGGGATGTGCTCAGGTCCTGGAGCTTCGGTTAAAGTCCTCAGACAGATGTCAGGTTTACATCTCTGCAGAACCGTCCCTGTTCTTTCTGCCTCCCTCCCTGGAAGCCCTTTTGAGTGCCTGTACAGACTCCTCCAGAATCTTTAGATGCTTGCGACAGTTCCACCCGCGGAATCACAATGGTCTTCCCCAATCTCCATAAATGTGGACTGTGAGGCTTCTTCTTTCCCAGACAGTAAAACAGATTCCACACCCTCCAGGGCTGGACAGGCCTCGAACTTGCCTTTTACAGAACCCTCCTCCCACAGGGCAGCAGTCCACCTCTGTCTGCTCCTACCCTACTGGGCCCAGGTGAGAAGGGCTGTCTTGCTGTCCGTCAAAGGGCATGAAGAGTTCCTCTCTCACTTCATACTCTGGAGGCTCTTCTCAGTTCCAGACCCAGAAAGAGAAAACCAAGGCCAGGAATGCTCAAAAGTCAGTCAAGGACGTGTTCACTGGCTTCTCTCCAAGCTCCTGATGTCAAGTTACCTGAATCTTTGCCACTATCCTTGTCAGTTCTCTGTGTTTGACTCTGTCTCCAGGGCAAACTTTTAATTTTAGGAAAACAGTGAAGATGAATTCTCAAAAATCTTTTGATTAACAAACCAGAGCAAGTGTAACTTCAAATAAACAGGCAGACAGAGAAAAGGCAAAGCACCCAGGGACACCTCAGGGTGTGAGTTGCTTCCCTGGTTGGAAGCAGTAAGGAGGTAGTGTGTCATCTGCGTGACCGCCTTTAGTTCTCAGTGTTCCTACAAGAAACAGCCAAAAGCACTTGCAAATTAGTCTGTGAGCCACTCAGGGTACACAGAAGGTGTTTTCTAAAACAAGCCCAGCACAGAGAGGAAGAAAAAAAAAAAGAGTTTATGAAAGGGAATGAAAAATTATAGGTAGAAAAAAACTGAAACAAAATTCCTAAGGTTCTAAGAGGACAAAGCCTGTCCTACACATCGTCCATGTCCCCTTGGGAGGTTTAAAGTGATTCTCGCCTGAGTCTGTCACTTCATTTGGCTGACACTGACTTTTCTTGGACATCTCATGTAATTTCTCCTTGGCTTCTGGGTCTGGGAACATGAGACCCCTTGGTCAGATTTAAACCTCTAATTGCACTCTTCATTTTCAGCCAATTTAAAAATAAACTAGGCTGGACAGAAAGCTCCCAAACAAACAAGTAGAAACTGATCATCCATTTAAAAGACAGGAGTGTTTGAGCATGACAGCAAAACTTACCACAGGTTTATTGCCTTCTTTTATGGTGATCCAGTCATCCTCGTTGGAGCTGATGTCCACTCTGTAAGTCTTGACGTAATATTTCTTCTTTGTTTCCTTGGAAATGGCCCCCTGGGTTCCGATAGCAGTGACAAAACGCAGGAGGCCCAGGTCCACCTACAACGCAATGACAAGTGTGGTCAGTAGCGGCCCCTGCACTGCTACAACACGGAGTGTTTCGCTTCTGTTTTAATGGGCTCTGCATGCTCATCTCCATTTACCCGCGATCGCCTGGGCTTGATTCCACCAGGTATCCACAGCCCATCCCCATCCGTCCCTACAGACAGGCAAAGACGGCAACTGCCGTGGCTGAGTCCTATTGCTGGAAGAAAGATGAGACGTTCTCTTCACTGCAACCAAGACTGTATGATCCCTGGCTTAGAAGTGAAAACTGGGTTCAGTATCACACCATTATTTTTCTAAGCCATTAAGCATACTTTCCATTCTATGAACAGAAAATCAAGATAAACAAAGCAAACACACACACTGGACACTGGAGAGGGCTGGGCTAGGATTCACATTGAACACGATCCTATTTCCCAACCTCTTCAGTATCCTCCCTCCTCCCAGCGAGATGCAGGCCCAACTAAAACAGACTTAAAGCACCAGCAGTGCTGTGGTTTGGTAAATGAGCCATAGATACAGAACCTGGAATGGAGTGAGGATTTTTAAAGAAGAGAGGGAATCTTTAAATTTCCTCTTTCCCTGAGTCTTCCCAGAGTCTTGCTTCCTTTAGCAGGGTTGCCAGGCCTCACTAGGGTAGAATCATGTCTCCAGGCAACAGCTACCAGGACTTGTGAGCTTGTCCCAGTAGGTGTCCAGTGGAGAAGGTCCCTCATGTGACCTGGGGTCTCCCTGGCTTCCACTCTCCCCAGCTTATCTCGCACCCCTGCAGGCTGGGCTACTTGGATACGACAGTGACAAATTTTGCTCTGCTACCTGCTCCAACCCTTGACACGCCGCAAAGCAACTGCCAGGTGACCGTGAGCTGGGACTTCTAAAACCATGAGCCACAGTGCACCTTTTCTCTTTATAGGCTGTTTATCTTGAGCATTTGTTATAGTATTGGAAAGCTGACTAACACAACCTTTCAACTCCTTGTGTAATTACTTTATTCATACGCCTTATAGACAGTTCCAGTAAAGTTAAATATTTTAAAAGTTTTATTATTTTCATAACTAATAATTTAAGCAAAAGTTTAAAATACAACTCATTACTAGTTTCTATATATCAGAATTTTTTTCAGTGTTCTTTTATCAACTTATTTGATTTTTCCTATAATTGTTTTTTTTCCCCTCTTTATATGGCTAGTGTTACATAGAAATAAATGAAATGTGCTTGAAGAAGTGAAACATATCAAAATATGGTAAATAGTATTTAAAGGATACAGGAAATAGCTGCAAGATACAAATGATTAGCATTGACAAGATACTTTACCAGTACAACATTTACCTTTAAAGGTAACAGAAGGCCATTTTCCTTGAAACTAACAACAAAAGCAAAGCAAAGCAGAATAAAACAAAACCCTCACCCACACCTGAATCTTGCTTCCCAGCTGCTACATGACAACCCAATTTCCAGAAAACAATATTTCAATTAACCCTCCAGTGCCTACAGGCCATGAACACCTGAAGTTTCCATGTTATGCACAGCCTGGTTCATGAAGAATGGTGATTGTCTTTCATGAATTGCCATTTTCCTGCAGGCCCTTGGAGCAGTTAAATCAAGGAATTGCCAATTCACTTTAAAACTGAATCAAGGGCTACATGGGGGGAAAAAGCACGCAATGAAGCCAGTTGGAAGTTACATGATCTAACAAAAGTAGATTTCCATAATCTAATTTAAGTGAAATAAATCATAGACAAGCTTAAATATCACATGGTTTGTCTTATATGAGAAACTCAAACTATAAACAAAGAGCAAAATGAAAGATAGGTAATAGGAAGTAGAGAGACAGATCATTCTCAAACGGGAAGGACATCAAGAGATGAGATGGGAGGGTGGAGGGAAAGGGGATGAAAAACGAATTGGGATGAGTTGCCTACAAGTCGCAACTCCCAGTGAGGAATGTGATCACTATGCACTGTAAACGTGGACTGATAAAAAATTTTAAAGAACCAATAGTACAATAGTAGAGTTCCTCTGGGAAGGGTGTGGGTACCATTCAACACCAAACATCTTTATTTCATTTCCCTGATTTAAAGGGTGTAAATTCTACGCTCTGCATGCTTCCTCCAGATTTAGGAGAGAAAAGGAGCATGATTTTTTTAGTAGAAATTAACATTTTAGGAGAATGATATTGGATGTTTTAAATTTTAATTTACATACAATATTTACTCAACACATTTTTCATCAAGTGCACATACTTGGTAACTGAAATTTGTACATTTTCCCAAAGGCGAGCCATGGTACATTGAATGAATGTTTTAAAATTTCTATGCCCTTCATGTACAAATTTCAAAAAGAAGAGGCAATCAATGATTGACAAGTTAGCAAATAAAAAAAGTAGTTAAATTTGCATTTCTGGTTAAAAAAAAGAAATAATTTAAATTTATTTATATTCCATGTAATCTTTGAGGCTATGCTTCTACAAATAACTGATTTATTAATCACTTACTTGAAATTCACATTTAACTGGGTGTTCTGAATGTTACTCTCACTAGATTTCAAACAAACAGGTGATTTTAAAGTTGCTATGAAGATTTTGATTCCATAAAGCTTCAATCTCAATGCTAATTCTCCACATGGCTGTGCTGAACAGTTCAACTGTTTTCTTAAGCTCTCCGAACACTTAGTGCTTTCCTGGCTGTCCACTGAGTCATGCCAACACCACATCTGCATTCAAGCTGAAGGGTCCTTAAAATCTTGAAGTCCAAGGGAGTGTGAGGCAGAGATATTGAAATAAACCTTTCCCGTCAAACTTATAGATGGCTCTTCAGTTTGGAAATAATTGAATCCCCCCAAAGTGCATCATTCAGTTTGAGTCATTTAGGAAAAGCTCTAGAATTTAATTCCATGGCTGCTCTTTCCCTACTTTTATAATTTTGTGTGTTGAGTGAAATTCAGTTACTAGGCAGGGAAGAAGTTAACTGGTATGAACTAGAAGGGTCAAGAAATCCTAACATCCAAGGAAGAAGCAATAGATAGGAATTAACTGGCACACACCCCAAACCATCCAAGACCCTAGACACAAAGGCCCACAAAAGCACATGCATGAATCACTCATAAAAAAGATGTTTTCTTCTCTCCACAGCAATGAAATGCATTCGCAACCCCCCTTATAATCGCACAAAGTTTCCTGCTGTGCTTTAAAATTCTGCAGATTCTCTATTTGCCGCACGGGAATACTTGAAATTTCATTTCATTTTTCTCCCTAGCATTACTGCCACTGGGTTTAGCAAAGATGGATGACAATCTCACCACATGATGAGGGCTGGGACCTACACCCAGGCAATTAAAACCGGATGGCACCCAGAACTCTACCTAGATGCAGCTCCCCCAGGCCTGCAGATTCTCATGGCAAAATCAGGGCAGTTCCTATTGAGAGTCCTTTCTCTTCAAGTGCCTTTGGGGAATTCTCTTGGGAAACGACCCACACTTACCCCTAACACGCGGGAGAGTGTCTGGGAGGCAAACTCCACAAAGATTGCCCTGCCTTATAAGCGTCATGGCTTATATACTGGTGTCTGTCAGGAGAGCCAGAGGATTGTGTCTTGGTGATTATATCTGAAGATTTTAAGAGGGGGTCATTCCCAAATTTGCTACTTTAGTGTAAAGATTATTCTGAGCTGAAGGCAACTGAGAATCAAATGATGCAAGAAAAGTTCTCTGTCCAGCTTTTTTCCACCTAGATCAGGGCATATATTTCCCTTTCTGCAGGTGGCTTCAACTTCTGCTCCTGTACGGGGGAGGACAGTGCCTCTCAAATCACTGCAGAGAGGCAGCACCGAGAGGAATGTTTCAGAACAAACTTTACTGAAATGACATGTATTTACCACTACTTCACCTCAGATACTCCCCTACAACTTATCAGCCTTAGAAGCCCCAAACCCTTTGTCATTTCTCCAGTCTTTATTGCCCTTTGTTAAAATGGGATATGATACCCAAGTCTAACTGCTTCTTTGGGTTTTTACTTCCTTTCTATGACGCCCCCATGACATTAAGTTAAAAATGTCAGCAGAATTTGTATACTTTTTAAAAAAATTGTTAATCTATCTTCTGTCTGTTTAATTTGCTGGCCCATTTACGAACCTGAATAGGTACCAGAACAGCTTTTTTCATTTAGCTCTAGCTTTTACAAGCCTATTCTTCCTGGCATATCTTTCTCAGGTAATCAAGGCAGTGACCTCAATCCACCTTTGCTGCACTTCTTTCCCTTCAACTGTATTCTTCAGCCACATTAAAATATTTGTAGTACCTGACAGAAGCTTTCTCTGGCAGCCTGTCTTGACAGGTAATGTTTTTTTGCCTTAAAAATAACCTTTGCTTCTTTTCGACCAGAAATAACCTTTTCACCTTCTTAGCCCAGTAGACTAAGTCATTTTCACGACCCCAGTGTGTTTTGTGCACAGCTCCTGCCTCTAGCACTCAAATCATCTTACTACATTCTTGTTCTACCTCCTCTTCCACTTTTATGCTTTTCTTTGAAAAATATCCCCTTTTCTGTATAGCCAATAGATGCCCACTCAAAATTCATAAAATGTAGTAAAGATTACAGAAGAAAAGAAAATCCCCATAAAACCACCACCGGGAAATGATCATTGATATATAACATTCCAGAGTTTTTTCTATGCAAAGTCTATACAAGTATGTTTTGCTATTATATAAATTAAGTCACATTACCTGTATGTTTGATAACCTGCCTTTTTCTTTATGGATGTATTTCTATACTAATCATACATTTTCTTTCTTTCTTTTCTCATACATTTTTTCTATATCATCATTTTTAATGGTCTCCCAATGGGATTCCATGGTACAGCGAGCAGAGCAAAATCTATTTTGTCAGTCTGCCACTTGGGAACATTCAGGTATTGCAGGTACTCAACTGACAGACCTTCACTTAGCGGGCACCTTCAGCTGCTTATCTGCTAGGTTCTGTGTCAAGTAGTTAGTATACA